AGTATCGTCAGTGCATAGCAGTCTTCTTGCTACAAGCTCAGACAGATACTGTCAAGGTAAGTAGCACACCTTTTTTTTTTTTTCTCTAATTACACAATTACGCTTTCCCTAGAGGATCTCAGCCTAAAAGTGGCCATGCTGTGCTAAGAATCTATTACAGTTGTGACATTTGACCAAAACCAAACCAAAACAAAATAACACCCCAGTGCTCTGGCTCACACATTTGTTACAGAATTTTTGCTGTTGAACATGTACCAATTTTATATCAGAGTCGATAGCAGATCATATTCTTGTTGAAAAACATTACCATTTCTGATTGCTAAAAAAAAAAAATACCATTTCTTGTGTCACAGAAATAAAGATGGTCAGCCCCTCCAGAGAAGTCAACACTAAAACAACCCCCACACCCAATTCATATGCAGTAGTACTCAGGTCAGAAAACTGTATCGTGCTCATCTATGCATGACACACATCTTGCAATTTCAGATGGAACAGATGGTATGATTAATTCCACTGTTACATAAATTTACCCCTCATTTTCACACCACATCACATTTCTAGTAACAGCACAGTGTGGTCGGCACTTGGCAGAAATATTTTCTTCTCCTGTAAGTTGAATTTCATTCTCTAATACCTAATGTGCAGAAATTTGACTACCACTAATAATTCTTAAAAGTAAATCACAGTAGATAGACTCTGTCAGGAAAAAAGCAATGAGTGAATTCTTTCCAAGTCACTGGTTGGTACTTGGAATAGGTACCTACTATAGGTATCTACTCAAGAAGTTGTTACCTTCTCATGTTATTGAAATATTATCTTTCCATTGCAAAGCTGCCTTCACACCAAGTGGCTACAGTCTTCTCAATGTCTCCCAAGTCCAGTTTATCAAAGGAGAAAACCCTGCAGCAAAAGCTTCTTTTCACTTGGATGTGGTGGCATTACTGCATTTTGTTGGCTTTGGGTGCTCTGAGGCCTAGGACAGGTAGACTTTCCAGCACCAGTTGAATGAAGTGAACCATCTTATTTCAGCTTCCAAGAAGTCCAATCTCAGCACGATCAATACATTTTTTAAAGAAACTTTGCTAGCCAAGATGAGCTTATTGGTTTGGTTTACATGATTCTGCAAGGCAGAATGGAAGATGATGTGGGTAAGATTGGTACTGGTCAGGACTGTCAGACCCGGGCCTCGAGCTAGCTAAGCTATATCAGAAGGCAGAGGCAAACTGAACGAAGCCATACGTGCTGTAGTCCCATTGACTCGTCCCAGGCAGAGGGCTGTTACCTTGCGAGCTGCCTCTTGGATCTCCCCATTTCTGTGAAGTGCCCGCCTTGGCTGCTGGCTGCCCTGCCAGGCCCAGGCCCGCCTGCCTCCGGCTGCCCTCCCAGGCCCAGGCCTGCCTGCTTGCCCTCCTCCGGCCACCATGCCGTGCCTTACCCGCTGCACAGGGAGCGCACAAAACACTCTGCAGGTGGAGGCAGTGCCTCCCCTGCCCCACTCCCACCTCTCTCTCAGAGACCTGGCGCTCAGCAGACATGTGAAAACACAGACCTGAAATGCGCCGCGGTCGCCCAGCCCACCCCTACCACCATCCTGCCCTCTCTTCCCCCCATCCCCTGCTCTCCTCCCTGAGCCTTGGAAAGCTCCCAAGTTTAAATCCAGACTCCTGTGGGTCCACTACTTCCTGGCAAAGCCCCGTGTAACCACCTCCACACTGCGCATCCGATCCTCCTCTGCCAGCAGCTCCAGAGGGGCCAGAGCCACCGCCCTGTGCCAAAGCTGGGCCCTGTCCTCCGCCAGGCACATACAGCTTCCTCACGCAGGCTCTGCTCACGTCCTTAGACCTGTAGGTCATCCAATCTCTCTCTCCAGCGTCTTATTTTTCAAAGCAATGTTTTTAACTCATTCAGGGTTACACAAGAAACAACCAGATGGGTCAGTAAGAAAATTTATGGATCCCAGCGTAGCATGAAGTAGACCAAGCTGCCCCTTCTCGTGCGTTTCTACTCTTTGCATCAAAGCTCAGCATCCCCACACGCGTTACAGCAGGGAGAGCAGACCCTGACGAGGCAAAATAAAAACCCTGGGGTGGCAGAAGCACAGTGAGACCTTAAGCTCTTATTGCTGCCAACTGATTTGTAATGTCTAATCATAGCAATTCAGAGACAACTCGGCTTCTGTGACCCAGACCATCTGGACTAGCACAGAGAGAAGGAAGTTACGTATTTGAAATCCATCTCTCCAGCCATCACCCCCTGCCCTCATACCTGGATGGCAGCAGATACAGAACTGAATGCTGTCAGCATGATGCTAGAAAACTAAAATTCATGTGGCAGCACATGACAGTTCTCGGAGGGCGACAGAACTTGTGATGCTGATAGCACTGGGGCTGTCTAAATCAGAGGAGCAGGGAGCCCAAACTGCAGTGACAGCATCGAACTAATAAATAAAACACAAAGAAGGGTGAAATAGCCTGCAGCAAACTTCACCATTACAAGCAAACAGAGCTTTAAAATCTTACCTTCCAAGCAAACAGGAAACCTTCACTGGAAATCCCTGGCCCCAGACACAGACTCCAGCAGCATGTAGTGGCCTGAACAACTGGGAGAGGCTCGGTTATGGGATAATTCATGTTCACTTCAGGAATTACCATCATGGCCCTGAAGAAAGGCTAAATAAAACTAAAGGCTCTGGGTGTTTATGTATCTGAATTACCGGAACTTTTTTTAATTGTCTTGGTTTACAAATTATTTTTTCTTGTTACAGAAAACATGGATGTCACAGATAGAAATGGCAATCTCCAATTACACCACACGACATGAAACCAAGAGCAGCACTGCTTTCTGCTACCCAGCTGAATCCTCTGAAATTTAATAATGTCAGCACAGCACCAACAGAGCCAGTGGAAGACTACTGTGGTGATAACACAGTTATTTCTTCCAGCATGCCTTAAGTTTCTAAAGCTAACAGATTTCTGACTTGACTAGACAGAAGTGAGGAGTTTTGACTACAGGATGGAGGAATAAACTGGAGGGGGAAAATGAGCCATGCAATAAATGTATTGCTCTTAGATGCTTCTTTGCTTCAGCCAGGGGAAGGCTCTCGCCATCCAGGGAGCTTTAATACAGCTTGTCATTTCCTAGAAAGTGGGACAGGGGAAAAACCCTATGTTGGTGAGAAGAATTCATTCACCAGAAAAGTCTAGAAGGGTTATTCTGAGATCACTTAAACCGCATTAATAAATTTATTGAAATCAAAATTGTGTAGCCATGCTCTGATAGTTATGCCTTTCTACCTACTAAACTGTAATACCACAAGATGGTTTTTGCGTGAACACTGAACTTGTGGAGGCAGAGCAGTGAAAGCATATATTGTGTTGACTCCCCATTAATTTTTAAAATGAGATTAAGTTTCTTTGAAAAAGGTCATAATTACATATAACATTCAGTTAAACTAGAGATCCTACAGAATATATAAAAAGAAAGAAGTGCAATGATGCCCAGCTTTATTGGGATTTTTTTTTTTTACCTGAGGTTTTTCACCACTTTATTAACAGCAGGTCTGTAATTATGCAGTTTACACCCATTGCAGCCTTTAGAGTTCAAGTTTGCTTCACAAACTCAAGCATTCCTTTTGTATTAAATCATTCAATACTTCACTGCTATCCCAGGCCTGTGGTCCACATAGCAGAAGTGTGCCCCTGTTAATCTTTATTTTTCCCTCTTTTTGAGGTACTGGAAGAAACCCACAGAGCAGCCTGAAACTGCTCATCACGACATTCATGCAGGTTACTAACACAGAGGAAGGGTGCTCTCACCAGGCTGGCCTTGGCTAATCCCCTGAGACTAAGCGTAGTCAAAGGAGAAAGGGAGGCTTCCCTAAGGCCTCTCTAAATCACTCTGTCACTTCTCCCACTTTCTGTCCCCAAACAGCTAGACTCCCTCAGCAGAAAAGTTAGCTCCTAGAGTATCCCCTCAGTGTCAGAAATTACTTCATGGGGAACCGAACAGAGAAGCCACACAGATGCCGAAGGATGTAGGATCGCCATTCCAGTTGTTTGCATTATTCTCGGGGAAGTCAGCATTCACTTCACATTCACCTCTACTCCACAACCAAATTAGTCATGAGTTCAAGCATTGCCCCTAAGCCCGCTCCTCCCCAGCTCCACCCATGAGGACGCAGTGGTACATTTTATCTACTTGAGCTGGTTCACCTGTACATACAAGCTACAGTCTGGAGGCTGTATCTATGCACGCACTTGCCTGGTTCAGCACCCTCCAGATGCAGCCTAGGCCACCACAGTACACGTTCCTGCTCTTTCCCCCATGCCTGTGATAGGTATTTTTTTGTGAATGCCCCCACAATTCAACAGTAGCTTTGTCATGGTACTGATCACACACATTAATCACCTGGCTTCTCTATGCGATGCAGCTCCACCCTGAAAGGTTTCCATCTGACAAGCAAGCCCTTCATTAGTCTAGAGACCTAAAACAAGTACAACTTCCAAGTCTTCCAGTTATGCCAGTTGTCTGACCAGATCGAATGCGATGTCTGAACACAGCCAGTAACAGAAGGACTTTTAAGTGAATGCGGGATACCCAGCAGCCTTATGCAGTTACTGGGAATGGAAAAACTACTCTGAATTTAACCTGTGAAAAAAGAGATTTGAAAACCAGCCATTATCACTGCCTCCTTAGGAACGTGCAAGCTTATGTTGCAGCTCCCCACAACTCTAACGAACTGGAGCGTTTAGCTTGTTTTTAGACACGTGGCTTCCCAACAGTTCATTTGTAAAACAATATACCCCACATTTGAAAGTAGCTTTGCTGTCTGAAATGGAGCAAGGTAGTTTTGAATGACAGAACTGGTCTATTAGAAAGGTCTAATATTTTTTTTTTTTTTTTATTGTCATTAATCATTCCTTTAACAGGTTAGAAAACAAAAATGACATTTCAGTAACATTTCATCATCGTTTATACAGAACCGATTGATGCATGGTGTCATCTTCTCATCCAAATCCACAGCCGCCTTCCAAATCGCAGAGTTGAGGAATTACAGTGCACGCTGGACTAAATTCTTTCACAATGTAAGGCACAACTACATGATCACAAGTAGTAAACACAAACACTGAAAGTAGAACTTAAAAGAGCATCAAACTTCAATTGAAACAAAACGAAAACACACTCATGCAAAAAAAATCTATCTACACCTACCAAGATGGTATGATCCAGTCGAAAATAAGTGCAGTACTCTGTAGGTAAAACTGCAACATAAGGCTATTATAATACATTACCTCTAAATACTGGGTAAGAACTTAAAACTTTTTCCATTTATATTTTGTACAATTATACAGAAATTAAGCTGTATGAGCAATATTCACATCTGCAATAATAAACTGATCATTAAAATTCAGAAAAGAGGCAAACAAGACAATGTAATTTGTGGCACGCATCCATTACAGAATACCATTCATCAAGTTCACATCTCGAGTACTGAAGAAGAAAAAGAAGATTAAATTAATGGTACATTTGGTGAATGAGGCTATCTGTAGCCAAATGACAAAGCTGCATACAAAATTGTTTTTACCCAGCAGACCATGATTATGAAAGCTCGTGGTTATGATTTATTTCCTGTCCAGCAGCTAGAGTTTGCAAAATTGAAACTACAGAAGTTAAAAGGATACAACAGAGTTTACAATAACTTGAAACCATTGGATACTTTCAAACACATAAAAAAAAAAAAAGACTTAACTTTTTTTCCTTTTTGGTGATAAACTTGCAATTTTGGCATTCACTATAACTTTTACAGAACATGACAGTGAGCAAACCTTATTAAACTTACCTAATGTTTGAATTTCACGCTGAGAGGTAGTTTAAATGAAATATTATGTAATGGCATCAAATGGTGGGGTTTTATGATTTTTTTTTTTGTGTGATTTTTTTTTTTTTATTTTCTTACAAAAGTGACAAATCCTATACAAGCAGCATTTTGGACACATTACTATAAAAAGTTCTGGTATTTGCTAACCCAGCGAGACATTCTTTCAAACATCCCTTTTGTGCCAGGAATCAGGCTTTCGCGTGATACAACGGAGTACTTTGCCATAAAGCCAACAGCAGGAGCCTGGACCTGCCAGCACTGGCCTGTTGACAAGTAACGATGAACAACCTTTCCCAGACCTCTTTGCCCAAAAAAGGCAGGAAATACAGATGAATTTGGTTTTAGTTTAGGTCACAGGGGAAGGAAAAATTGGAAAACACGCCTACCAGGCTTCTGCTTCCATAGTAACGTTGATCCAAAAGGGTTAGCAGGGCTTCAGTAATCTTCAAATGAGCAGATACTCCTGTATCTGCTGCACAGTGAGTGCATAGTATGTGGTGAGCTACAGACAAAAGGCAAAGTTTATTACATTAACTAGTACCTATCCTCTTCAGTATTGTGATCTTAAGTGGCATCTAATGTTCTCTCTAAAAATGCAAACCTCTTTATTCAGTGCCCCTTAAAAAACAAAACAAAAACAAACAAACCCAAAACTGAGTTTTTGTGGAGGGACTTTACTATCCAATTATTGCTGGTTTTGAAAAGTACACCACTTAGTGCTTTTGGAGAGGCTGTGGTTGGACAATAACCTTAAACTTGTCCTAGAAAGGGTGCTGAGGTCAAGACTTCAAAAATTAAGAACTGGACAACTGGCAAGACCCTTAAAAATACATAGAAGTCACATTTTCTCATTTTATAATCTTAAAATGAAGCTCTACAAAGACAATGCGTGTGTAACTACATGGTTTTTGTTACATGTGCTCTCAGATGATGATTGCATTTTTGGTGCAAAGGAATCATGAGTGCAATTCTCCTTACATAGCAAGGGGCCAAATGTAATACAGTGAAAAGTCCAGCTGAAGATAAACCTTCTGTCCACCGATTACAGCTAACCCATGCAATGCAAATTATGCCATTCCACTTACTGTAGATTATATTCAGTTAGACAGAAAAAAGTGCATAGTGCAAATGACAGTGTTGTTTCCTAGTCCTCCAAGAGTATGAGAGTGAAAGGGGTGGTACTTGGAGGAGTCATTTACCAGTTTCAACATACTCAAACGATGATATAATTCTTCTTGGCATAGTTTATATTCTGTTTGAACTTAAGCTCCAGCAGTTTTCTGTCTGCCACTGAGTGCTGGTCGTAAATTTTTTAAGTTTTGCAACAAGCGTTTGTTCCCACTTCACATTTAACTGACATTTAACAATCCAGAAAAGTACTTGAGTCTTCCAGGTCCCTTCTTTAGGAATGTCACTTCTCTTACATCTAGCATAAGAGACTCAATTGTTCTTGCTAATGTAATACAAACACAGAGAGGTTACTTCATGCTTCTGCTCCCAAGTGCCTTCTTGCTTCACTAAGAAAGCTTTTCCAGTGAGGATTCACAAATAATCCTAATCATCCCCAAACCAATAAAAATAGTTATTCATTGTTCTTGTGTACCTAGCGCTCCACACTCCATGGCAGCTTGGTTACTTGACACCTTACAAAAACAGAGGAAAAAAAACCGCACTGTACCCTAGAGCCTTGGACTCTTGTGCCAGAGAGCAAAGCCAGCCGAAAAACAAGATCCCTCTAAACCTCTTGCCTCTGTTGGAAGCTGCAGCAGAAAATTCCTTTTGTCTCTTTATCTGCAGACAGCAACTTCTCCTACTGTGACTCATTAATTTTATCCTCTTTGTTCAACCTTTGCAGAAAAGGGAAGATTACTGGAGGGAAGGAATACATGGGGAGAAGAAATAAGTAACAGTGAAGCACAGCCAGCTAAGATCAAAAGCTTGCCACTGACCTCTGCAACACTACCTGCCTCCAGAGAGGTTGCAGGACAGAAGTATGGAGTACGTACTGCTGACCCAAGGCTGGAGTAGAACCGTAGGATTTGGCATTTTGGAGGCAACAATGCAAGGGATTGTGGCTCTTTGACTGGAAGAGGGGTGATGTCTCCAGGAGTTTAAAGAACCTCTCCCCATTTGAACGAGATTATCCCTTACACTTTTCCAATTGCCTCTGTAGCTTGTCTCAGGCTGCGTAGCAGCTGGTCTCTCATATTATGCTCCCCCAGCAATTCTGAACGTGGATGGAGTGTCCTGCAGAGGGGACAGGAACAAGCCCCACACTTCACTGTCCCACTCCTCATGCCATGGTAATGACTAGTAATCAAAGGCAGCTTGAGGATCCCACACACCTACTGGTTCGAGCGCTGGTTTTACCATTATTTCCACCTCTTGCTCTATAATGGCCTCTCCTCCGTGAATCACAGCAATCTGGTTCTTCCTAGAGGCTATTAAAACACATCACTGTGCATCCTCCAGTTCCAAGGCCCTAGTCTCTTCTGCCATTTTATAAGTTTTTCCCATTAATCAGTGCATCAAACCCTCTAATTAATCCCTCTAAATCAGTCCATTAAACGCTCTAGTTAATCCCTCTAAATCAGTGCATTAAACTATTTTTTCTGGAATCCTTTAACTCAGCATGGTATAAGTTACCAGGCTTTTTACTAGGTTTTCCTATTATTTACATTTCAAAGCAGTGCAACAAAACCCACACATTCCTACTGAAACATGCCCATAAAACCAGTCAGACTCCGCAAGCAGATTTATAAATACAAAGCTTTTCACCTTCCACAGTTTCCCTTCTTACGTACCTCATAGGTCATTTTACTGACCTTGAGTACAACTTCCAACCTGGCAGTGAAGCTGAGAGCATTATAGAGTCTATTATACCATCAACTTGTCAACAAATACAGACCAGCACTAAGAATCATAAGCACAAAAGAAGGAGCATGAGATTTAGCAATGGAATCATAAATTTACTCCAGTGAAAAGCTGTAGAAATCCTGACCTACTGCAGACTCAAAGCTCAAGCATGCAAGCTTCTCCCCTGCCACTGCTCCTCCAGATTTTAACAATCCCTCTTCCTACAAATGTGTATGTGAAAAGCATTTCCATCCCCTCAAAAAGTGGATCATATAAATTGGTCAGCAAAAAGCAAGATTCAGAAATCGAGCTGGTTTCGCCCCTAGAGCTGAGGAGCTCCAGACCAAGGTCTGATCTGCAATCAACCCACTGTACTGCTTCAGCAGCCAGCTGAGTGAGGCGACTCTGCTTGTCTTTACACAAAGGCATCCCAAAAGGCTGAATTAAAAACAACCCTGCTAGAGCTTCTACCATTTCCTCTTTATTGCAGAGCTCTCTCCTCAGCTTTCACATGTTCCCCTTCAAAAGCAAAATGCCTGAACACCAATACAGTCTTTTAACCATTTTCCTAGCTCCCCCTGAGGGATTTCCATCTTCCTCTGCCTCATGCGTTTTGCCCTCGCGCAGTTGTGGAAAGCTTCTCTCTTCCCTTTCAACATCCCTTCTGCTCCACGTGGTCATCCTTCACCCTGAGAGCAGCACAAGGTTCCGGGTGTTACATACACAACAGGGCAGAGTGCATCTAGGCTGGAGCACGGCTGTCACATCTTTATTTTTCCCACATTTCTGACCAAGTCTCGTGTCAGAAAAAGAAAGGCTTGAAAGAAAACTCTTCAGATTCTCTCAATAGATAAATAAGTAGAAAAAAAATTCCCAGAGGCAGAGATTCTGTTCGTATTTTCTATTCAAAAGATTCTTATGCCAAACAGTTACACTGACGAGGAGAAAGAGCGAGTCCAGAGGCTCTGTTCATACAGAATCGTTGCAGCAGTTGTTTCTTTTGAGCAAGCAACTCTCAAGTTCAAACCAGAAAAGCAGGTCAGTATTTCACACAAACCACAGTTGTATCCAAAACCCTTTTACAGCAAGGAGAACCAGTTAGTTATATATTTCAGCTGGATTTTGAGAAATAAGAATTTAATTTTAAGAAAACTCCTTGAGGAAGACTCCTTGAGGCTGCAAATGTAGAACTAGACAGATAAGCCAAGCAGGGATATGAAACATATAGATCACTACTTCTGGAGAAGAGGGGTTAAGAATTTCTTCACTTGAGAGTTAATCAGGACTAGACATTTTTCATAAAAAAGACTCTTCTTCATTCACATATAAAGCTGACAATAGATAAAAGCAAACGAACCTGCCTAACGATGGCTAAGCTTCCACCATTGTGACAGAATTTGATTCTTACCTCAGGCAAGAAGTAGAGGAATTGAGGACACAGTCCTTTCTCTGAACAGCTGGCAAAATTTTTTAAGACACAGAAGGGCCTGGGGTGTGGGGAGTTTAATAGAGTATTTAAGACCAAGGATCCCTAAAGGCATAACCCCTGCTCAGAAGAAGTAACCTTAACCATTTTGAAATACCAGATACAAAGGGAAGAAAAGTTAGAGACAGGCAGGCAAGAACGAACAGTTGTAAATAAAATCACAACAAAAAGAAGTTTGACACCTACATGTACTCTACAGCCTCTGTTGCAAGTATGGAAAATAAAATATGGATAAATATCTAAAGACATATATAGTGGCCTCTTATTTAGAGCTGTTTCGCTTATAACAAAGCCAGTAGCAGGAGATTCACACCACCATTCTGAGCAGACTAAATCATATCACTAAAATAACATTTAAGAGCCCCCAGTAATGGGGGTCGGATGGAGCAATGGAAAACTGAGGTTTGTCAGCTTCTTCCACCAAAAGCCAAGGGAAGGGGCAGAAGAAAAGGTGAGATAAACTGCAGCAATCTCAAAAAAGACTTTTTCTTAGCGTGGAAGGTCTGGATGTCCCTTAGAACGACAAGGACCTCTCAGGGCTTCCAGGGTATGGGCAGGGGGGAGAGATGTGCTACAGACTCCTACCAGTATTGTTTGTTTGCTTTTTAAAACCCACATATAAGGGTTTCTGGAATATTAAAATCCATCAACCGAATATGTAAAAATTAAATCAATAAATACGAGGCGGAATATTGTAATGTATCGTGTAATATTCCTACAATGCCAGCTAAACTTGTTCTCATCATTTGTTCACACAAACTCTCTCTCAGACATGCACGCACACACACACAAGCTATGCAACACAGTATGTGTAAAGATGTTCCAGTATTCAAGCGCTGTAGTTGGATAAGGACTCAGGTGCCAATACTACAACAAGTTCTAAGTGGGCAAATAAAACTGAGTTGGAGTCGAGTCCAGCCATTACCCTTCACTGTGGAGTTCGAACTTTAGAGAGAAAAGTTCAAGAACCAGAGAGATAGAAAGAAAACAAAATCACACGGGGTTATAAAGAACATCAGATATGCAATCAAACGTGACAATTAGTTACGCTTTTACAGCAACATTTGATACATAAAATCCTCACAAGTTTTTGCATCTTCCTTTTTCTTTGAAGGAAACAAGAATAACTGCAATATCACATAAACATTGTTTCTCTTGAACAAAAAAATAAAAGATAAAAAAATACATTGTTACTCCTCTGTTTAAACTTTATTTACAAATAACTGGGTATTTCTAGTCTAGACATAGAAGCTCTTTCCAGGATAAATGGCAGTAAGCTATGGATGATCTGAGCCCATGTCTCACAAAAATACAATAGTTTTACTTGGTATCAATAAACATTTTAAAATATACTAAATTTTGCCAAGTGTTACAATCATTGTCCGAACTGAATAGTAGTCTGAGTGCTGGACGAAGTGCATCAACAGAAATTATAAATTTTAGTGTAACATTTCTTTGCCACTCACGATAGCCAGTTATCCTTGCAAGTCATTAAAGCAAGTATCACAGACTCGGACAGGCTTCTTAGAAGAAGGAGTTAAGGCATTCTTTGCTGAGCACTCGGCACAAAAGATATTCCCACACTGTCTACAGTGATGCTGTGAAAGAGAAGAAACATACATGCTGAACACCAGTGACAGGGCATTGATCACTAACAGAGATTACTATCATGTCAAGTCAACTCTCATGTTTCAGGAGTTTGAGTTTTTAAATAGTAGTTACATAGCACACAGAAGGGCATAGGAGTAAATCCTTTCTAAAGGGTATAGGAGTAAAATATTCAGAAGCGCTTCACTGAGTCCAGAGACTATACCAGTTTCAGAAATGAACTGGTTGAAGTTCACCCTGCTCTTGAATTTCTCTTCTTGAACTTGTTCTGGTCACATAACACACGTTCTTCATACATGTAACTATCTGCTTTCACACTGAGAAGCATCCTTGAATCAAAGGATCCAGCAGCCTTTGTTCAAAGACTACCAAAAGAACATCACTGAAATAATGCAGAACAGGGAGAGCCACCTAAGACCAAGTCAGGAAGCACTGCAAAGTGAACCTTGTGATTCCTCACCTACTTCATTGCCAAACCACTTGTTGGAGGGATGGTAATCTCTGGATGGGATGAAGGGCAGACCCTGCCAATTGAGGGATGCTAATATCTTAGCTGACCATAGCTGGTTTTATAATGAAGGTTTGACTACAGACCTAAAACACATCCAGTTGTTTCTTCTGTTCCATGTCTAGTTAGGGTTTAGAAATATATAGTCACAAAGCACCAGATCATGTTGATGCCTCGTATTTTCACATATATCTAATTTCAACAAATTTACATTCCTTTTATACCTGTAAATCCAGTTCAGACTGGTTATAAATAAGTTTACTGTAAATACCCTTACAAGAGTGTAATTTTGCTTGCTCACTTAGGGAATTGAACTATTTTAACACTCTTTAAACTGATGCTGTTAAAATGGCAAAAGAATCATGAATAAAGTAAGCTCCACAAACTTTATTTTTAATATTTAAGGTACGGCAAGCAATAACTGTATTCGGAGATGTCCTGAGTATCACAGCACTATAAAGGCCATTTTCTGAAGTTTGTATCCCATCTAAGAGTTTGAAAACAACAGAAAAAGAAAATCCCCCCAGACACATAATAAAACACACCTACCCTTCTCACTGTCACTGAAAAGCCTTTTCCACAGGCCATGCAATTCTGTACCTCATTGTCTTCTGCCCACTTCCTGTTGAGGGCTTGGGTGTGTTTGATCTATACAGAAGATACAAAAAAGCAGCAGGGTTTTTTTTTTAAATGCATGTCTAATTCCTACTAATTTCCTCTATTTTCACTGCACACACTACCCAGTGCAATACAAAAGCACCAGTTCTGCCATGATACTGAGAGCTTATATTTGTTCAGAGAGAAAATCTTCCAAGTTTCAAAACTATGAGGAGATTTAACAACCCACAGACAGCAACATAGCCCTTGTACACCACAAGCATAACATCTTTATCACTCTAGAAAGGTAACCCACCACCTATCTGACACAAACTTGAAATCCTCCTAAGTTCCCACACAGAGAATCAAGAGGTTTAATTGCTTCAAATCAAATTATACCTGTAATGACTGGTTTTCTCGGCCAAGTTCCTGCATTGCAGCGGTAGTGTTGTCCAGCTTTTTCTTCATTTCTACAAGTTTGGCTTGAAGCTTTTCAATTTCTCCCTCACTTTTTATACACCTAAGGAAAAATAGTAAATAGTCAGCTCAAAGCACATAAAGCAATGTACACTGCCTCCTTTGGGCAGGTTGTCATGTCTGAGAAGTTACTTCATAAAATCCTTGCTGTGAAAAGTTCTTGGATGCCTTGACTGGAAAAATGTTCTGTTGTAACAATCATTTTAAGATTATCTGGTATTGCTCCCAAATATCTGTGGCTTATTAATACCTGGAGTTACTCCCAAATCCATGGACAGTACTGAAATGCAGTTTATCAACAGCAAGCCCGATAAGTACCCCTGTGCAACAGGACACTCTCAAACCAGCTGCAGCAGACCAGGTCAGAAACAGAGCAGAAAAGAAACCTTTTTCTTTCAGCAAGGCCACCAGCTGAAATTCAGTTAACTTGTTGAAAGCCAAATTTCAAAGGGTGTTTTTCTGCCAAGCTGTAAATGGCTACTGGATGAGTTCAGCACAATATGGCAAAGGATTGCCAAAGAAAGAGGATCTCACTTGAAACGATCCCATCCTTTCCCAAGGTCTAATGGTCAAAAACCAAATCAGCAAGCTTGACAGTATTGAAAAGTTTTCCACTCTGCCTTCACCAATCATGTCAGAAAATAAGGATGAAGTTTCCTGTCTCACAGGAATCTCTTCTACCCTTGTGATTGCTGATTTCATGTAAGTCCTGCTGCCTTGCATGCCATACTGCCTGAAGGAAAGGTGCTCTGCTTACCTAAGATTTAAATATATTGTAGAGACAATAGCAGAAGAGGAGAAAAGAGGACTGTAGGTTTTCAGGAGGAAGAAAATGCCTCTTGTGTGAACCTTAACCTATCTTATCCACTCACAGGTTCAATCTCCTAACATTGAGCAGTGGGCATACCTAGAAGTCCCTAAGCAAATTCTATGTTACTGGAGGACCTAAGGAGTCTCTTCCAGGGTTCTGGATGACTAGTGCATCTACTCTGATTGAGTCAAGGCAGGGGAGCCTCAGAGTGATGGAGAAGGGTAGTTAAGTCAATAAAGAGAAGCGCTCACTGCCAGGCCTTGCAAGGTTCAGACAACAGATGAGATGAGAAGCCACAACCTACACACCTCGAAGTTCAGAGGAGCCCAATGGATTCAGAAGGCTCTTACAGACAGGCATAAATCTTCAAGCACAAGTGCAGAGCTGTGGCTTTGGTGGTAAGTAAGGTCCTGATAAGCCTGCCTGATTTTCTACAAACCAGTCACCTTGTCAAAGCCCACAAAGAGCACAGTTTGTTCCCAACAACCCTCGCTGTGCTTTGGCAGGGCCAACAGAAGCTTGCACGCTGGAAACTGCACCCGCAGCCCAGGCACTAAGAACAAACATGGATTTAAATAGAGCATGCATGGAGAATCCTGAATCATCTGAAACAAGTTTTCAGTGTGAAGCTATCCATTTCCCAAACTACACTTCCACATCTTCATGACCACAGCTTACCTCTCCAGCAACGCTCTTCTCTCATCCTGATTATTCTGCACTGTTGCTTCCAAGACGGCAATGTCACCACGTAAATCATCCGTCTGTTTCTCTAGCTCGCTCACTCGCCTCTGACTGCTTTGCCACTCTTTCTTCATGGTAGCCAGGTTTTCATTCAGAGCTGTGACCTGCATGGTGAGCTTGGTCTCCTTTTCCTCATGTTTCCGATTTTCTTCTTCTTTCTCTTTTTTCTCTGTGTGCTAAGAATGATTTAATTCAGGCAAAGAATCTTACGGTACTAGAATCACTACTTTTAATCAATAAACTCTATTAGACAAGGCTGTCATCCCACTGAATTTTTCTACACCATCTAAATGCCTCGAAGATTTCTGACCTTGTCATTTAAAAATTAATGTAATGTGAAACTAAAGTAAAGTCTTGGCTTCCTCTCTGTCCCTGAAAGAATACAAAGGCACGTTCACAAAACAACAGTCTTCTACTCTAAAATACTAACCAGTTTAGCTTCAATTTCAGCACATTCTTTCTTCAGCTCCTCTTCTCTCTTTTTCAGCTGATCTTTGACAGCTTGATGGGTTTTCTTCTCCTGTTCCAGAGCTGAATTCATATTATCTATTTTGCCCTGCAGCTCTAATTTCTGTTGAATCAATAGCTGTTTTGCATCCTTGAGATTTGCCACCTCCTGTTAGGATACAGAGCTCAAAGTTAAAGTAGTGACATTGAAAGTACAAATGACTTAAATACAGAACTACTGTAATTCTTTCCAAGAAAAGGACAGCAATAATTTTTAGTTTTATCACTGGAAGAGAGTATGATTTTATAGCATAAAGTATCAGTAATTTTCATAAAAAAGGATTTTAAACTTATGCCTATATTATGAACAACATTCAATTTTTAAAATAAATTTCATGTGTGTTTCCACTAAGCAGTGGAAGCTCCATTGGATTATTTCTACAGTTCTTTGAAAAGATACATCCATTGTAATTTTCTGGAGTTTATTCTAAAACTTACTTCACAATGTTCTCTGGTTGCAATAATGAGGTTAAAAGCATTATAATGACAATGTAAAAACCAAACACTGATGGAATAAAGCTAGTTTATATTATTCTTAAACATATAAATAATTACACTATGTTTTAACCAAGTAGGATGATACATTTGGGTTTAAATATTAGTTTTACTTCATCTCCTGTAATAAAACATAAAAAATCCTGAAGCAGAAGAGTTGTTAAATTTATAGGGATTGTTTTCTTTAAAATTACCTAGCCAAGCATACAGGTACTCACAGACTAATAGGGGTTGCCATTTTTCCATAAACCAAAATTCACATCACAAATTAAAACCAAACCAAAGGCAGCAAGAGAAGATATCCTGAGGACAGGGGGATGCCCTACATATGCATATCTATCCCTTCCTTGGTAGGAGATGGGAAACAGAGTATAAGCCTTTAGGAGACAATTTCTGGTTTAGTCTGATTGCTTGTAGGGAGATCGAAAGATGAATATTATGCTGTGAAACAGAGTATAAGCCTTTAGGAGACAATTTCTCTAGGGAGATCGAAAGATGAATATTATGCTGCCATTGGTGTGCACACATTTTACATACATCTTTATAAATTTTATTCTTTAGAATAGAGATTGTAGGAATTGTGAGAATTATAACAACCTTTCCTCAAAATCCAGGAAAATACTGGGCATATATTGGTTGACAGAAATGAAGTACAGACCTCTATCTAAAAATAATTGACCATTTTCTAAACACTGGAGAACAAAAGAACATCTGAAACTCGTAAGATATCATGTTACTTTCTTTACTAGCATATAGGGACTTTACCTTCATTTATACTTGTACAGCAACTTAAACCCTGTGTGCTTAACAGGTACAAATATAACTACGAGTAGTATCATATGGAAAACACAAATTATGGCCTTTGAGGAGTGTTTGTTTCTACAGAGACTAAAAAATTAAATACACAGAACGTGGCAAGAAATGTTCTACTGAAGCTAAAAATTATTTAATTAAAGCCTCCAAACTTTTACCATTTAAAGAGCTCATTTGATTGTTATGATTTTGGAAGAGAGCTAGTCTTTTACGAGACTCCTGACACTGTTTCTTCCCCGACTGTGACTTTTTAAGACATTTTAAGAAACCACAGGGCATCAAGGGAGTTTCAACTCTACCACGCATCCTTGAGAAGTACCAGATGTGCCTAGAGTATCTGGGAAACTTCACATTCATGACAATTTTGGACATCTTTTCTGCACTTCAGAATAGTCAAGCAAGAGTTTGCACAGTGAATCTACAGCAGAACAGAAGAAAAGCCAGGACATAAAACCCATCCTGAAGCTAAGACAAGTTATGTGGTCCACCTGGTCAAGAACAATGGGCACCAGTGCTCCAGGATTGTCACTAATCAAGTCAGTATTGCCCAGGAACCTCAACAAAATCTGTGCTTTGGTCCCCTTACCTGTAATACTGATATTTACAGCAACCATCTTTGCAAAGCCATTCCAGATAATATCTACTGAATAGGCACATACTTCTTATCAGATAACCAAATACATGAAGACTCAGTTTGTCTCAATATACCTTCTCAAATTCTTGCTTGCAGGCTCTAAGTTCTTCACCCAGCTTGGCACTTTCTTTTTCAAGTCTACTCCTTATTTCCTGGAGTTCTGTTGTTTTACATTTTTCATTAGCCAAGTCTTTTTCCTTCAAAATCTTGAAGAGAAATAAAAAGTGGTAGAAAAGTTACTTCTTCCAAGTTCACAGAACAAAAAAAAATGAGCAAACAAAAAACATCCAGGGCCCAAAGCCTACTTGGAGGCTTTGTAATAAGGAGAAACAGCTGCCACATATCTCTATCCACAGTTTGTAGTGCAAACAATTAGCAGCATGTCAGCAGTTTTAGATTTAAAACTAATGTTTTTCCACCTGTCTAGCCACTTAGAACAAATTAACAGCCTATTTTGAACCAAATTCACTTCAACTGTCTTTTAAAAGCCTTTGCACCAGAGGTTCAGTAAAACTGCCATTGGTATGCAATACAACAGTGCTGTGCCCTCAAAATACCCCTTGTTTAGGATGTAACAGAATAATAAAGGGTGCATGTGTGGGGTGGATGTGTCTGTGTGAAAATTTCAAAAGACAGAGGTATTTACCCTGTCATTCTGAAGATCCTGTAACATTTTGGTCTTCTCTCCCAGCTGCTGCTCCTTCTTTGATGCATCCTGCTCCAGTGTAGACTTTGCTTTCTTCAGTTCCTGAATCTGCTGATTATTGCTAGCAATTCGATTTCTGCTGGAAACTAATTCTTCTTGAGCTAGAGCAAGTTTTTCTTCTGTGGACTAATTACAAAGAAAGTTCTGCAAATTATCTGTCAGTGTAAGAGCTTCAGATACTCAAGAGTCACTTAAACATTTTCCATGTGGAAAAATCATTATCTAGCATACAACATTTTGCTTCAAATGTTGACAAAGCATGGGGACAGAAACTTCTAGGTTACGAGGCCACCCTAAGTAAAAAGAAACTACCCCAGTGCCATTTCCAGCAGCAATACCTTACTGTACATATTCCAGCTTGCACCCTTCCACAGAGAAAAGGTGAAAATATACAAAAGGGCAGAGAATGAAAGGTGACTGATTAAAAGAGAATGAACTTGAATTTGCTCACACAGATTTATTTTATTCTCTGGGCAAATCAACTGCTCTATAACTCTAGACAGCTGTTACTTAAGAGGCAGTGAAACTACACTGTGAAGATTTCAGAAGTCATTCAATGCTATTTTTTACCAATGACTTAATGAAGCTAGTGCCAGGACAACTAAAATTTTTGAAAATCCTAAAGTGAAATGTATAACCTAAAAATGCTAATATCAGGACAAAACGTTTCAGAGTCTCGGCTGCGTCAGTGCTTTAAACACAAAATTTAAAACTTGTATTAAAAATCTACTACAGATTACATTTTAGTTTGCCTCCAACTCTCCCCATGACCTAGAAAAATAATTTGGATTTATCTCTCTACAACATGTCACAAAAACCCAAGAAACAACCTAAAACTTGCACCCAAGGCTCATTCTATTTGCTCACAGCAATGTTAAACTTTGGGCTTCTTCCTGAGTTAATATTCTGGAGGTTATTTCTTTTTAAAGCTTTCAGCTTAGGCAAGGACTAGCTCCACTTAGAAGCACGTTCTTTCATGAAGAACCAATGAGAAAGAAAAATGCCAAACTCATCCTCAACTCCTCCAAAATATCAGTATTTTATCGAAATTTTTGATGCTATACTACAGAATGTGAGGTGAGGAGATTTATGACTACTAATAACTTTATTACCTTCAGTGCACCAGTAAGGATTTAAATTCTTTCAAGAAAAACTAAATGCTTTTTGAAGTTCTTACTTAAATCTTAATCAAACCTCTTGTTGAAGGTTAGTGATCTTAAAAGGAACAATAAGCACAACTTTGACTTCACTTAATTATGCATGTGCTTTAGCTACTCCCATGTTGATTTAAAACCAAACTGATTTCGATGCCTCCTAACCCTCCCTTGTAATGTCTGAAGTATTTTGTGTGGAGTCAGACTTAGTTTGAAACACCAGTGATGGAAGGCTGCTGATTCAATAGCATTTTCAACAACCCCAGTGGCTCTTTAAAAACTCACACTGGCTTTTAAAATTAATTTGCAGACAAATTGTTTTGTTTGCTCTCTCAGCTATTGGAGTTTACTACATAACATTTCACAAGGTGTTAACACAGAATTTGTTTTAAGCAAAATAGGAGGTGTTTTTGCAATTTCAAGCTTCCACCAGGGTGGGTCTTTCAGAAAGCAAAATTGTCCCTCTCTGCTCCACTGTGGGCAGAGTACTATATTTTCCTAATGATGAAAAAGGATGGGAAGTGTAGCATCATCATATAACATCTTCGCAGGAAAACCCAATAGTCTCTGCAGTTTTAGAAAGAAACATAGTGAAACCACAGCTTTCAATCAAATTTGTTTCCAGGAGAAGAAATGTGGTTACACCCAATTTGTTAGCATAGGATGATGAAATTTGATAAAGTGGATAGTGACACCCAAATTCAAAGCTTCACATAAGGGATATTCCTGTCTCCACGCTCCCCCCCAAAGTGTCTACACAGGACAGGTTATCTCATTGTGTCTATACCTAAGCTAAGACAACGTAAATGTTTGTATAAGTGGAGCCAGTATTCAGCCTACTCTGCAATGTATTATGCACAAACATTTCTGTAAGTCAGTAGTCTGTAATAGAAGAGACTTGGAATTTTGCATACCATTTATCATACTACAGCTTACATATACAAGTGCCTCTTAACTGTGTTGTGATTAATAATGATGCTACCTACCTTAACTGGGAGACCATTCAATATAATTTTAACAGTAAATTAACCTTCTATCTATTTATGCCTGCCTTTCTGCTTTGTTCAGAAGTCCCTCCAGCATCCTTTGAAAATGAGCAGAAATCTTCTGGCACACGGTTAAACATTCCAGTTATTATCTTTGCTCCTGGCCCAGTCTCCACTGAGACAGTAATTCAGCCCGATTCTTTTGGACTGCTGAGGAGCTCACATCTTTAACATAAAATCACCTCTCAAAACATCTGATGCCATTTACCTTATTTAATTACCATTCAGTTTTGCCATCGCCCCCAGAATATGACAGGTGTTTTCCCAAGAAGATACACTCAGTCATGAGACTGCTCTTTAGAATGACAAGACAAAACTGAATGCTAGGAAAAGGTACAGAACAAAAGACACGGATCTGTACTTATTTTTGTAAATGAAAACAGATGCTAGGATGAGTGGTATTGTGTTTACACAAATAAATAAAAATGCAAGAACATATCACAGTCTGATTCACTGCAGCTTGGACTGTTGTACTGGAAATAATGTGCCAACAGCAGAACTGGTCCTAGCTGGGTGGTAGGACCTGGATTAATTCCACCTAAGTGAGGTGCACAAACAAGAATTTCAGTCTGTGTGCTCCCTGATCCCAGTCCACAAGGAGAGACATGATATTGTTCACAGATGCTAACCTGATCTCTCTTCACTTCCTAAGAAGAAGGGTTAGACTGACTGTAGGCAAATTAGGCTCCTGACTTACAGACCTGAGGTTTGGCAGCATGAATATTGTCCCAGAAGGTCCACTGAAGATACTCTGATAGCGATGCCAATATTGGAGGCAAAGGAACATTCTTTTGAGAACACAGAGGAAACCAGGACTGACTACAAAAAGCACAAATGCCAAGACTGAAGGATACTTGGCAGAGCTCAGAAGAGCAGGATTCATACAAAGTATGTTTACGCAACTCAAAATCAAGGCAAAAATAACAGTTCTGCATTTTGATTAACTCTTCAATATAAAAAATGCCTTTTCCACAAAAAAATTAAATATTTTGTATGTGTGTGTATACAAAAGTTATTTATATATTATATATACACATATATACACACATGCATTTGTATATATGTCTGTGTGTATATATATACATATATATAAAAAAAATACTGGTATTCTTTTTTATTATATGTATTCTTTTTTATCAAAAACTATAGCTTTTATAAGCACTCAAATCCTACCCGATTTCTTTTTCCCATCATAGAGACAAAAATGTATGAGCGTCGTTACCATTACAGACAGTGCATTTTTAAACCAAAGCAAATTTGCAGCAAATAGCATCCATAAAATTGTAACTACGTTCTCACTTCTGAGTTTGTTACAATGCTTCTCGCTTCTCCTCTGCAAGACATACAGCTTCAAAGTTTGCATCTGGCTACAGCTACATAGCTGGGATCTTCTGTTATTGAGCCAGAAACTAGGATTCAGCTGTGCCGATGGCACTCCGGAGAGCCACTGCCCACTCATGCAGTGCTGCATCTCCAATTGCAAAACTTTCACTGAAGCATCTGCTCACTTTTCAATCACACCTCACTCTCACAGATGAGCCAGCGATCCCAGCAGTGATATTCCGAACAGATGCCAGCAGATGGTGCTCTGTGCACGGCCCAACTCCTGCCACCCCCTCCCAGGAACAAGACCCACCATCCTGCTCATGTCACCCATACACCATACGGCCTTTTATGATCTATCCCCACACCTGAAACCTTGGCCTCACCAACAGCATGGTGCTACACCACATGAGAATATTTAAGTCTCCCCTTGTAGTATTTTTAAACTGAAGAAAACTTAGCATTGCTGGGATCTCACAGTACAGCCTGGCCGTGCCTGACCTGGATGCTGCTGGGCTTCAAACCATGCTGACTCAACACAGCCACACAGGGAGTTCATACCTCTGCTCAAAATCCTGCACTGAAAGACACCCAAGCTCACCTTACATACAAGTTTTAAAAACTTCTGCTACTGCCTACTAATATCATTAAGCCCAATCTGAACCCCAGCCCAACCATCAGCTTCGGTTCCAAACTTTAATCAAAACCCATAGCTCTGGCTCAAATTATCTACTTTTATTAAGTAACTTGCCCAAGGCAAAACATTATCCAGACAACTGACTTTGAATTGGACTGTGAAACTACCATAAAGTTCTGACTTGAGTGGCATTTTGATATTCAGCTCCCAAGACTAACATCATCACGCTGAGGCTTTCTGAATGTGCTTTTTCGTTTGCAGTCTTCTAGGACAAGTTATCACTGCTTCTTTAGGTTAACATCACAAGGAGGCAGCACATCCACGATTAAAGATCAGCTCCCCACCTCTTCCCTCTTCTCCATTTTACAGAAAAAAAGTGGTGGCAAGCAGACCTCACTAATCCTAATTAATACATGGTGTTTTTTTTTTTTTTAAAATCAAGGAAACAGCCTCCAAGTTGGTACATCACTTCACTATGAGTACCCCAGTCTTCCTCAGGCTCTCTAGGTTCCACAGAGACTTACATAATAAATCAAGTTATCTGCCTGCTCATCTTGAAAATCTTGTTTTCCTGGTGCCATCACCTTGTTTTACCTTTTTGCATGGATGTTCTCTTTCTTTCTTGCTACCATCCCTGTTCAGGTTTAAAAGCATGTGGGACACCTACTGTCCTATTTTATACTTGTCAGAACTAGAGGTCATCAAGCTGGTTTAATACTACTTATTCAGAGCTATTTTTGCAATAAGCAATATTTAAATGAAAACTATATCAAAAAAACCCAGTTACTGTGCACATCCAATGCTTTTACAGGTCACTGCATTACCAACTGCTGATCTAAATGCATTGCAGGAAATTAACTCTCAGAGGTACGTGTGCTACAGTAACTAACTGTAAGAAAGAGTATTTTTAAACCACTGTTGCTTGTTAATCATGCTGAAGTTCTTCATGATTTAACATAGCGATTAGACCAAGCTGGTCTGAAACTAAAGCTTCTGTAATGTGCAGGGAAACGTGGCAGGTAATCTAATGCTACAGAGGAGGAGTAAGATTACTAAAACTCCAATGGCCTATACGTAAATGAGCTATTTCTCTTTTTCTTAGAATAACCCCAAACCTGGAGTTTGGCTAGGGGTCTACAGTTCACATGGGCCTATCTGAAACAGCCACAAGACCTTTTAACAATTTCAGTAGTGGGACTGAAAGGCCTCCACTGGGACAGGTGAAAGGGAGAGATGAAATCTAAGCAGTCACCAAAGGCTCCCTTTATACATAACAAAGCAAACAGAAGCTGACATCTAAAACGGATCAGATGATCTGTCCTCCCGAAGTGCCTATTTCTTGCCATAAACTTCAAGCAGATCCTAGCACAACATTGTCGGACACAGGCAAAGCTGCAGTGGGATTCATCTGAGGGTAAAAGTGCCAAAGCTACACATCTTGCCAGTATACAGGCAGTCTCTGCAGCACAGTATGTCCTGGGACTAACTGGAACATTGGCTTAGCACTGACATGAAGAAGGAGGGCAGAAAAAAGGACAAAAACCACCTTTGTTGACTGACTCAACTCCCAGCAATACCTCTTTGAAGGCACTACACCCTAATACCAAATCAGATAAATTCATCTTAGGAATAGAAAATAATTCAAGGACTAAGTTCGGACACTTTTTTTCTGGGCAGGTCCCTAAACCTACTGTTTCTATTAGTTTGACATCTCTGAACGTCTACAATCAGCCAGGAAGAAGCAGAAGGGGCAAGGACATGGGAAAAGACTGACAACTAAAATTCCACTTAAATCATCTAGAAGATAGCGGTTACTCACATGCTGGCAGAGACTTTGCCCTAATTAGCTATGCTGTCTAAATTAGTTGAAAGCTACCATATATAAAAAGAAAAAGCAACACGACAAACTAACTCTTAAAAGAATACAAAAATAAATCATCTTTCACTTTATTGCTGCACAAATGCAAGGATATTTCAGGTGAACTAGCACATACCCTTGGCTTTAAATTACTTTCAGGATGTCACTTGTCCCAGGGAACAGCACTACATTCTATATATAGCAGAAGAGCTTTTTTTCCACCTATACAGTTCTTGCACTGCTTCTTGGTCTTCCAAATGGATATAAACAGATCTGCTAAGTCACATATGACATTAAAATGACTAT